ATTAAGTGCATTAAAGCCGAAACTCTTTGAACACTTCTTGAGCGCTGTCCAATTCATATGGAAAGACTTTAATCATACTTCCCATATGGTACAAAGTAATTGACTGAACCTCTAAACAAATTGGATTACTTGCACTAATGTAAAAGCACTTAGGTATTTTTTGCACTTACCTTCAAAATAAGAGAAGAATGCATATTCACTTGAAGCTCGAAAGCCAAATTGACCCTTTCTTCGCATAAAAAGACTTTATGTATTTCAACGAATTGTGTAACATTTTACATACTTGATATTTGTCGACAATTTGGAACTTTAATACCTTATAAATAAATAGTGCAAGTAAAATTGTAATCTTTATGGCTATACAATTTACGAGTTTGGGGCTGTACTCGTACTACATATTTATGCATAAATTATGTATGTATACGCTAAGTATATTTAATTGATGTACTTTGCATACATATTATTTTTTTACATTTTATATGTAATAAATTAAATAGTTTGTAAGCCACTAAGAAATTGTGTACGAAAACTGACTATGCTACTCAGCTACTTAGGTTCTGAGCTGCGGAGCAATATTCTGTATCTGAATTATATTACAAGTATGTATTACAAGTTCTTGATACTACACATAGCTTAGGAGTTGTTAACCTTCAAAATCTACGTAACCAATCCTCAGTATAAGCAACAAAAATATAAATATTTTGTGTCTTAAAATGTAACTAATTGTCCAACAAATTAATTTTTTTGGTTAACGGTTTCCCACTTTGTTAAATATTTCAAAATCTTATCAAAAAAACATTGAACAAAATGTAATTCATCCTACGTCAAAACTACAGTTTACTAAAATTATCACATTTATTTCTCCATCGTATGAATCCTACCATAATGATTCCTCAGGGCGGAATAGGTCAAGAATTTGCTTCCACAGAAATAACATTCGTAGTTTACTTGTACACAATTATTTTTCTTTTTTAAGTGACGGTTTAGATGAGATTTGTGATACGTCGTGTAGCCGCAAAACCGGCAATTATGTTTCCTTGCTCCAGAACCATGAAAAATATTGACGTGAAAGATAAGACTGGATTTGTCCCGGTAAGTCCGATCACATTCTTGGCACGGGAACATTGGTTGATCTGATGATTTCTCTTGATGCGTCCACTGCAATTTAGCAGGAAAAAATCAATTCATTAAACTCATTTTTTGATTTATATATGTAAGCACACTCTTAAAATTCAGGTTACCATTATAGCCAAAATATATACAGGGTGGTTTAAATGTCAAGTTACAATGGAACGTTTTTCAATGAGAAAAATTCGTAAATTTCCACTAGTTAAAGATTTGGGATTGAGATTTTTATTAATTTTTATCAAAACTTATGGAACACTGATGACAAAATTCTTAAAATATTGAATTTCAGAGCCAAATTTCGGTAAGTAATGGAGATTTGCAAATTTTTCCCATTGAAAAATTTCCCATTGTAACCTGATATTTAAACCACCCTTTATATTACTCTAATCTTATATTTGTATTGCTATATCAAAATCTGTCACCCACTGGTTATCAATACGACCAGTTGAGAATAATTTATATTCTAAAAAACATAGTGGGTACCCTGGACACGATAAGCAGTCGGGGACCTTCCCTTGTAAGTCTCGCACGTGCAAAAGGCCTGAGTCATACCAACTCAAGATCTGGTCGCTTTTCCAATGAAAACCGTGCCGATCGTGCAGTTTCCGCCACGACTTGTGTCTTGTGTACAAGCCCGTGCAGGGAATAGTGAAAACCAAGTTATGATTTCTCAACAATATTAGTACCTTATTCATACATTAAAATTTTAAAACAGTACTTTCTGATTTATCCCCAGCAACTTATGGTCCGAGTATCTATATTAACTAGGAGAATTACAGTGTTGCTATAAACTTTTTAACTAAAATTCAGAAAAAATTGACTGCCACTTGTAACAGTTAATTTAGATTTAGGCCCCTATATCGAGCTCACATACCGGCCCCGAATCTATAGTTCCGCTACTGCTGGGTCGTGTATAACGACATGTCGTTTTAGGTTAGTCTTTATATTAAATGTTTTTGAACAGTGGGTGCAATCCACTGTTTCCATTATGGAAACAAATATAATTAAAAAATGGAAATTCCATTCTATTTCTTTCAGTGGGGTTCGGTTATGTATTTGTAACTTGGTTTGCCTTAATTTTGAAAAGCCTCGAATCTTTTTTTAAAATCCAAATATGTTTAATCTTAGATTCTTACTATATAAATAATCAATTTTCTTCACATTTTGAGGTCTCAATCATATGTAATTTACCATTAAAAAGTATTTAAATTGGGCAGCAGGTATGCACACTACAAAATTATAAAACACTGGTACACTCTTAATAATCCTGTAAAGTCATGCAGGTAATGATTTCTAGGTAATAATATTTTACCAGGTAGTCAAAATTCTTTACAATGATGGGAAAACTATATTACCAAGCCATTACCACACGGTACAACTTGTCATTGCCACTTTGGTAGAGTCATATACTTGCACTTTTCGGTAATGTTTTTTACCAGATTCTTTACAGTGTACATTGTAATTTCAGATTTGAATTTTTTAGTTACACGTTACACCTACAAGTTTTTGTGTTTGGTAAATATGTAAAATTTATAAGCCCAAAAGTTTAACCTCGAGTGGACGACGGATTTTAACCCTCGAGAAATTCCAGCAACTAAACGCAATAATATGGTACCTTAATTTGTAAAGTGCTTTCTTGGAATCAAGCTAATGTTTGGTTATTTATAGAAAGGTTCCACGCCTACGGAAATGCCGAGTTTATAAATTTAGGGGCTATCCATATATATATTACGTCATACCTTGGAGTAGATGCAAATGATAATTTATACAGATACATTGGATACTTTTATTAGGTACTACGAAAATTATAATATAGATACAGGGATGGGCAATCCCAGGATTACTTTAATCAGATTAAGTAATCAGATTACATTGAATGTAATCCGTAATCCAGTAATCCACGAAAAATTCACATTTTAAAGTAATCCGTAGTCCGTAATCCTAACTAGGTCTGGAAATGATGTGTAATCCGTAATCCCCAATTTTCGAGATTGGAAAATGTAATCAGATTACGGATTACTTTGTTAGATTACTTTGCACCTGTAAACGGGGTGACAGCTCCATCTTGCAACTTCTCCAGAGTTTGAGTCACTTGCTGAACTTGAGTGCTTAAACTACCGTCTGGATTCTTCAGCAAAGTGCAAAGTTTAGAGAATTTTGGAAAAATGAGTAGGGGTTGATTTACTTCAACACATCTCTGTCAGCATCGTCACCTGCACAAGGTCTTGTTAGTTCTGCCATAAGATAATTTTGTCTGTTCTAAGAAACCAACTGTCGGATGAATCATTCAACGTTCGTTTTTTACACTAATCATCATCATGAAATATAAGTGTGACTCTATTCAGAATGAACTGTTCCAAATGAAATGCAGCAAAGGGGTGGAGCGAGACGGTCACACGGTCATGGCATGCCAAAACTATGTCTAGATTTTATTTTTAAAATCCCCGCCCAGAACTACGTATAAAACTATTAAAACATAAATACGACATTTTCGACGTTGGCGTCGTCGACACGGTCATGCGGTAATGCCACGTCAAAACTATGAAAATTTTTGTAATCCCTGTCCAAAACTATATCTAAAATGGCCAAAACAAAAAATTCGACACCTTTGATTCGTGGCATCATCACCTTGGGGCCATGACCTTATGACCTACAATTCCCATTTTCAAACTCATCCGTACTTCAAAAAATTAGAAACCCATTGGCGAAAACCGCATGATGAAATTCGAAATCGTTATAAAGTTATCGTGGTTAATTACAGACCGGCGGACAAAACATTTCCATTAAGGGATTTCGCTTCGCTTCACCTCTTAATACATAAATGTAGATTTTTGTAATCCACATAATAATCCGTAATCTGATTACTGTAATCCGTAATCCGTAATCCACATCATCAATTTATCCCAGTAATCCAACAAGTAATCCACATTATTTCAGAAATGACGTAATCCCAATCCAGTAATCCCATGATAATTTTGAAATTAATTAATCTGTAATCCGTAATCCATCGAAAGTGTTGGGATTGCCCATCCCTGTATAGATATAATTTTAAGTACACTCAAAATAAGGTAGTAATGAATCATTACCATGCGGAATGACTATGTGTCTCTACCACGTCGGTTACGATTTGCCGTAAAAATGGTAATAATAAGTTCATGGAAATTCAAATTTAATACATAATGGTATTAACTTCCTTAATATTTGGTAATGAATTTGAATTTCCCTGAACTTATTATTAGCATTTCTATGACAAATCGTAACCGACGTGGTAGAGCCACATAGTCATTCCGCATGGTAATGATTCATTACTACCTTATTTTGTGTGTATGTATAATTTATGATTAGCCTTGTCCACACAAAACATTGGAAGATTGCCAGTGAAAAAAAGCTTTATGCGTGGTTTCGAGAGTCTTGAGGCGCATAAATAACTTTTCTGACGCTGCAAAGATTTGGTAATAAATGTCTACCTGGTCTGTAATAATCTTTTAAAAGCTTATAATTTGTGCAAAATCTTCAACAAAATTCGTAACGTATATGACTCTGCAAAATTATTTACGGTGCACACTTGTATTTTTATGTATCTATGTAGGTTACTTAATCCACTAGCTATGTATGTATAGGTATGTCCATCTTCTTTATTATGGGTTAGGTTATTTTTGTATTAAAATTCTTGGAAGTTGGTGGCCAGAATGTTTTAGAATATGTACAAATGCCCTCAGCCTTTTTAATCTTAATCTAAGGAGGAGAGACGATGTGTGCACGTATAGCATACATTGTATCCGTGTCTACCTATTAAGTATGAGAGGAATGCATATAACCCAATGTAACCATTTCACTACATTTGCCCATGACTAGGACAGCATTTGGATGGAATGCAGACGTATTGTATTACATATTTTATTCAGTCCAGTTTTGTCTATCAGCCATTAACTTTATGGCCCAGTTACACTCCCATCCCATCACTTGACTAAAATTGAGCAAGAGTAGTTTTACATATTTAACAATCTTATCCAAATTGTTATCCCCTTAATAAATAATTATTTAAGCTAAATAACATTTAAAAAAATTAAAATGCCACTTCCTAAGGCGTATAACTCTTGTTACTTCTGCTCCAAAACGTGGTCAAGAGAAACACCGTCCATATTTCAATTAAGTACCCATATGCGACTCCACACTAAAGAAAATCCGTTCAAATGCCCATTTTCGCCTTGTAAGAACTCGTTTAAAACATATAAAAAACTCGTTGCCCACCGATCTCAGCATGAGAATAGTGGTCAAAAACCCTGGAAATGTGACAAGTGTGGGGTTTCTTTTAAAACTAAGAGCACCTTAACAGGTCACGTGCTCGACGTACACACGACCGAAAGACCCTTCAAGTGCTCCCTTTGTTCCTCCTCGTACAAGCGGATAGGCCAGTTAAACCTGCACCTCAAGGATCACGACCCCTTCAACCGATACCCTTGTCCAAAGTGTAACGTCAAGTTGAAAACCGAAAGATGTTTGAAACTACATCTCGAAAAGGTTCACGGGAGGCGGGATTGGAAGTGTTACTTTTGCAAGAAAAGTTTCACTCGTGTCGGACTAATTGATCACATCAGGATTCACACGGACGAAGCTGTTTTCAATTGTCGCACGTGCTCCGACACATTTTTGCATTATTCGAGTCGAGCGCAGAAAACGGACCTACTCCCACCCTGCTACCGGGCGAAGGAGTGCCCATTCTGCCACCGACTGTGTAAAGATACCCACGCCCTGGCCGTCCATACCAGAATTCACACAGGAGAAAAACCCTACACCTGTCCAAGAGAAGATTGTGGAAAACAATTCTCCACTTCCAGTAGTCTTAAATCTCACGCGAAATACCACATTAATTACTCTGATGGCGAGTTTAAGTGTACATTTTGTCCGAAAACCTTCAAAACCCAACGCAGTGCCAAGTATCACGAAAGCAATGTCCATATGGAGACTTGGAAAAGACCGAAAAAGTGTGCATCATGCCCCAAAGTTTATCCGAGCCATTCTACCCTCGCCCGGCATCAGCTCATCCATTTGAAAGAACCCCCCTTCAAATGTTCCCAATGTCCAAGGGGATTCTTTTATCAGACTGAATATTCGAAGCACATGAAAAATGTGCATAACCTGGAAAAAATTAAAACAGAACCACGAAAACCAAGAAAATATTTTGCCTGCAAAATTTGCTCAAAAAACTTTCCCAACTTTGGAACGTTCCTCAACCACCAGGAATTACATCGAGATCCGACCCACAAATGTGCAAAATGTCCCCGGAAATTTCACAATGTTTACTCCCTCAGAAACCACGACAGAACTGAACATAATGGTCCCAGATACAAATGTTACTTTTGTATCAAACTTCCCCGGTGTTTTGAATCCCACGCGACACTGCGAGATCATATCATTCGCCACACCCAGGAGCAGGAATTCTTTAAGTGTAAAATCACAGAATATAGATTCTACCAGAAGAATCGATCTGATGTATTCGAGTGACGCTTATGGAAGAACGGGGAGAGCCAACCAAATAATTCGGTGTACATTTGGCCCACCTGGGGGATGGCACCTCCGCATCATCATCATCACCTCATCTCCTGGCATCAAAAAATGATGATGAAAGCACATAGGTGGCGGTGGCACCCCGATTTGTGCACCAGAACACACCCTCGTAGAGCATCAAATTTGTGGAGACGCAGCTCAGAAATACTCAGAATGGTGTGTTCTGGTGCACAAATCGAGGTGCCACCGCCACCCATGTGCTTTCATCATCATTTTTTGATGCCAGGAGATGTGGTGATGATGATGATGCGGAGGTGCCATCCCCCAGGTGGGCCAAATGTACACCGAATTATTTGGTTGGCTCTCCCCGTTCTTCCATAAGCGTCACTCGAATACATCAGATCGATTCTTCTGGTAGAATCTATATTCTGTGGTGTAAAATGTGTGAGAAATCTTTCAAAAGATTGCGAAACTTGAAGCATCACGTGGAGATTTGCGGCCGTAGCTTGGACACAAAGTCGGAACTATTTCCCTGTGAAAAATGCACTGAAAAGTTTTTCTACTCGAAACACCAACTGTACAGCCTACCTACAAGGTTCATTGGGTGAGGCAGCATGACAATTTGTGGTCATTTATCATTAAAAACTCACAATGGAGGTCTCCCAGCGTATGCTCGCAGATTTGGACCAAATATTAGCGTAAATCGATCACAAATATAATTAGTATGAAATTTGCAGATGGCACCATCTGCCAATGCAATCCAAATCCAAAGCGGGAAAAATTGACAGTAAATTTGGGAAATGAAAAATTTGCCAGCCTTGGGGGTGCGTTTTCTCCGCTTTTTATGCAAATATCTCCGCTAAACCTGCGCATTAGCAGATAGTGTCATTTGTAAATTTCAGACTAATTATGTTTGTCATCGATTGACGCTAGTTTGGCCCAAGTCTGTGAGCATACGTTGGGAGACCTCCATTGTTGGTTGTAAATAACTGAAATAATTATTCTAAAAACAATTTATTGTCAAATTTAGAAAACCTGGAGAAAAAAGACGTGTCCCTTCTGTGGATTAGTGGTACGGGACACGTATTCTTTAGCCATGCATTTGAGAACCCACACTGGAGAGAGACCCCACACCTGTGAAATTAGTGGGCAAGGATTTAACCAGAAAGGAACCTACACCACACACCTACGTCGACACGAAGACAGGAAAAAGGGAGTAAAATTCGCGTGTAAATTTTGCAACAAGCTGTACATTTCAAGGGACACGTTGGCTGGACATGTGAGAAGATTCTATTCGGGAAAAGGAGAAAATTGGCAGTGCTATTTTTGTCACGAGTCTCTCACCCGGAAAGAATCCTTATTGTATCATATGAGAGTAAAACACACTTTGGAGAAAGTGGTTTTATGCGAGGAGTGTCCCACGAAGAGATTTCTTAGCACGACAGGATTGCATTATCATCGTCTCAAGAGCCATCCACATTTGGTAAGTTTAACGAAAATAAAAGCAAGATTGTATTAGATACACTCTAAGAAACCCGGTAACTAATTTATTGCCAGGCGGAGTATTTATGTGACTCTACCGCATGATAATTTATTTATTATTGAGTGGTAGACATTTTGTTACCAAACCGGTAGTAACCCTGGTCGCGAAATTTGAAAATATTACCAGTTGGAAACTAGTTTTCTACCACTCAATAATATGTAAATTAATTACCATGCGGTAGAGTCACATAGATACTCCGCCTGGTAATAAATTATTTACCGGGTTTCTTACAGTTTAAGTACTTCGTTCCGCTGAGGATATTTATTTATGCTTGATTATTTTTTAATTGCAGTGCTTCCAATGCCCAAAGTGTCCCAAAGTGTGCAAATCAAAGGCAGAAGCTTCAAGCCATTCTTTATATGCTCATAAAATCAAAATGAATTAGACAATCGAAATTATGCACATTTTTATTTGCATGTTATTATTAATGGATGAAAAATACTTATGCATATTTATATAGATATGAATTTAGTTTTAGATTGAAAAGCGTTAATAAATATTATCTGTTTACATATATGCGTTAATATATAAGCGTTAATAAATAAGGCCAGTTAACTATGTTGATTTGTGCGGATAATGTTACAATATGTAAAGGAAATCAAGATATCCTCCCCGGACGTGTTGCATTAATTATGCATTACATCCGTCCTTAATAAATAATCAGTATTATAAATGATTACATAGAGCATGCAGTATTGTGAATGTATGTACAGAAGTCGGTTTAACCTATCTTGTACTATTGATTTTTCATAAAATTTCCTTTCAGTATGACGCTGATCTCATAATTGTGTACACCTGCTAGCAACCACTTAAAATTGTCAACCAGTTTCCAATTTTTTAGTTTATTGACAAAGAAACAAAAATTCTGCATGCATAATGTCGCCCACCTTGGCCACCGACCTGTGACATTTGTATCGCATTTGTTAACTTATACAAAGTTTTATTATCGACTTATCATTTAAGAACTCATTGTCGAGTAAATTTCAGTATTAACAAACAAAATTAAAAGCAAAAATTTATAAAGGCAGTGGCAGGTGAGAAACGAAGAATGTTGAAGGAATCGATTTGAAGAAATAAACATGTACAACCAGAATTAGGAAAGCAGTAATTATTATGTACTGATTTTTCAACCAGATTTACTCAAATAGTACCTTTCGAAATTAGAAATTGTACGAATTATCTAGATGATGTCCTTTGCCTCTTTATAAATGTGGTTGGCGATTAAATCCTTTACAGGAAATCGGAAATTAGTTCGTCTAAGCTTACATATGTATTAAAAAATAAACCATCTATATCTATATTAATTAATGTGATATACATTGCAATTACTAATTTCAATTGGGTCAAACACTTCGTTGAAGCTGGTTCAAAAATATTCTCCTGGTATTCATACCAACAGAGGTTATACTTATTCATATGGCTTAAATCAAACAATTCGTGACAAAGACCTGTTAACAAATTTGACAAGAGGTTGTGTATAGATATATGTGTTTGGATACTTAATTATTGAAAGGAATGACAATTTTAAAGTAAAATGCTGAGAACTTGAGTACGAATAACATAAATTATAAATTAGATTAGTAAATATCTACATAACTTTCCTCGTTTTATTCTAAATTATACATTTTGTCAAATTAATTTACTTGCTACCCTATTTTCCGCAGTCTACATCCTACCCAAGCCACAAATTTTAGCATAATTTTAGTATAATCAGGCTGGTTAAGTCTGTTATGATTTTGGCAAATTATATGACACAATTATGATCTCAAATTAATTATGATTATGTTAAATTATGATTATGACTCCCCCCATGTGACTAACGCGCAAATAATACAAAAATGTATTAGCTGATCCAGAATTCCAATCATAGAACCATCCATTTGCAGAACGTTATTAGAGAATTACCAGCTTGAATAATTAAAATTGGATCATTAACTTATTTTTTTTTAATAAACAGTTTTTAACTTACGGTTTAATAAGACGGATACCGACCATCCTAACAGTACTTAATTGCATCTGTCTTAACTTAATGTTTTCTATTGTAATTTTTGCCGACACGATTTCCCACATAAAAATGGCAGTAGCAACCGTAACCACGAGGGAACATAACGCTAGCACGTACCACAAAGCTCCGATTGCCTTCTCGTCGTCATTTTCATTCCAGCTTTCATAAACCAGTTTCGCCCCCTTTGAGTTTGAATTCAAGCCTTTTATAAAGTATATTTTGTGATTTGCAATATGAAGGAATTTGAACCGCCCCAGAATACCAGTTCCGGACAAATGCCTCAGAAACCCTCGAATCTTTGGAGAAATGAAGTTTCGACGGCCAAATGACAATGTGCTGAAGCCCAATGAGACATCTGCATTATTCTTGACGACCAATCTTGTACCAAGAATATGTAAGGAATCTACGCACAATTGCAGATAGAAAGTCGTATCCATAATTGCAAAAGTCTCTTTTGTCGATATCCATTTTGAGGTTTTATTCGATCTAACTTTACACGACTTTGACATATTTTTAACCATTGACACGTCTTCAGTGCCGCCATGAATATACTCAAGTTTAGAATTCATTTTCTTCACTAATTTATTAAACCTTTCGCTGAAATTCTTGTTGAAAATTTCTGGAATTAAGTACGTCTTTAGCAGCGAGGTTCCCTCCTCAATTTTGTTAGATTTTAAGATTCTGGAAGTCGTGATAATTGTCATATTCGACGCAACAAGTTCTTCAATCGTTTTTGGAACTTGGGGTGGAGATACCACTGTCAAGTCGGAGTAGATACTTCCTTGATAGAGATTATCCATAAGGATGTAGCAGACAAAGAACCAAGTTGCTAAAAGTGGGCGGGAGATTCGTTTGTTTTTAACCTTTTTGATAATCTCATCCGCAATCGCTTGTCCAAAAAGGAGTGACTGAACCATAATGAAATCTTGGACGGATCTTAACCCACTGTAATTATTGGGTGACCCCTTCCCCTCAAATTGCAGAATTAAACTTATTCCTATACAAGATACCAAAATCGACCACCAGATGGCACCTGCAAACGGGGTAAATACACCCCAGATGCTGTTAACCGCTTGAGGAAACCGGGGGGGGAATTCAATTCGAAGATAAGCATTGCGTAAGCATAGATTTTGCTAAGCAATGGAAAATTTGGATTCAATTAATCCGAATTTAGGAATTTGCTTACTCATACACTTACGCCAAAAATCTTATTCAATTAGAAATATAATTCTTAAACCTTGCGTATTTTTAAAGTACTCAGGAGCAGTATTATCTCTTGCTTAAATAACTTCCATAGCCAATGTATGTACCTGTCTGCCTTATCATTTTAACCCTTTGATTTGAAACGATAATTGTCGTCATTTAATAAGAGATGGTTTAACTCGAGAGAAAAATTAAAGCCGTCCTGCAAAATTGTGGTCGTTTCTAGGAGGTCATTGATTTTCATGATTTTCTCTCCGCGGCGTAAAATCTGTTGTAACTTTGAGGGATTTCTCTTTTCTTAACCAAATGTTAATTTGAACATTTCCTTGCCCAAAGTTAATATTTATCAATACTTCAGTGAATCACTTTCCTCCTCCCGCACTGTCGCCACAACATATTTATAACGTCCCCAAATAAATACTTTCTTGTAGTTAATTATACTTCTTAAAGGGTTAAAGAAACATGTCGGTGCCATTGTTTGTTTTGAGGAATGAACGTAATCGACGCTATCCCCAAAGAAAGTTACTTGAGAGCCTCTCCGAATTTGAAATTAGAAAGCACACTGGCTTGCCATGGTGGGGAGCTAGAGAGATTTTGGGGTGGTTAGAACCACATGTGGAACCGAAACAATTTACAAATCATGCTGTGACGGCGGAATCTAAAGTTCCTACGACACTGGGGTTCTTTCGATCAGGAGGTTTTCAATGGTTAATGGGGTCAGATTGTGGATTATCCCAACCAACCGCGTCAAGAATTATAGAGCAGGTAAAAGTTTTAATATTAAGTAATATTAACACTCGCTTATATTATGTTGTAAGATTACAATCGCTCTCTACGATTTTATTTTAGGTCAGCCGAGTTCTTGTTACGGAGTCGCCAAAAATCGTATCTTTTCCCGATGCAGCTGAACAGAAAAGAATTTCTACAGCCTTTCATGCCAAGAGTAGATTTCCAAATATAATAGGAATTATGGATGGGTCACATGTGAATATAATTTCGCCAAGTCAAGACGAAAGGTCATTCGTGAATAGAAAACAAAACCACTCAATCAATGTCCAAATTATTTGCGACGACCAATTCCGATTCATTGACGCCGTGGCAAGTAATCCGGGTGGCGCACATGACTCGTTTGTGTTCCGAAATTCTCACATTCATCACCGATTTTTGACAGGAGAATTTGGGAATGGAAAATTAATAGGTAGGTAATAGCTAAGAAGTAAAGTGGAATTTTAATTTAATGTATTTATTTTGTATCTATTTAGGTGACTCAGGATATTCTCGTTCTCCGTTTATGGAGGTTCCTTATGCTAGGGGAATTATTACTCCTTTTCAGAACGATTACAATAAAAGGTTAACGTCCGTTCGATGTGCCATTGAATGCACAATTGGACGATGGAAAAGTAGGTTTAGATCCATGCACAGGTAATTAAACGATTTATTAAACCTTTAAAAATTAGTGTATCGCTGATTAACATTTTAACAGGACCGGGGGAGAACTTTGCTATACTCCAACAAAAGTTTGTCGCCTAATTATTTCAACAATCACGCTTCACAACTTTTGTCATACGACTAATATCGCATTACTGAACGAAGATGAAGATATTTATAATCAAATAATTAGAGAAATGAATGATGAGGATTAATTATTTTTCATAATTTGTAGCTTCTCCTTTTCAATTGAGTTTCGCTCCGCCAATAAATCAACTATTTGTGCCAGTTGCATTGTTTGAGTCTCCAATAATTTAACTTGTTTAGCTTGTAATGCGAAAAGAGTAGTTTCCAGAGGACGTTTCGTTTGTTTCTTGAAAAAATGTGGAGCATTTTCTTCCGAAGCATCAGCCGGTTTGTTTGTTCTTGAGCCCGTGTCTCCAATTGGGATGAGGCCCGTTACCGAGATCAAGTTTAATGGCGCAGTATCAACGGTCGACACTAAATATTTTAAGAAAGAGTTTAAAAATTGTGCTTGACTGACGGGAATTGAATTAAGCGTACTAACTTTTACTAATGTCGATTCCACCCTCAATTCCTGAAATTTCGACCCGTGGAACAAGTGCCAAAATTTTCTCTCCTACGGTATTTTGGGGTTGTAGAATCGCAGACCCTCCTCCAGTTTTTTTCATTTCATTCGAATTGTTGGTCTCGATTTTTTTCACGCTACTTTTCAAAACTTGATACTTCTTTTTCACCTCGGCTACGCTTCTAGGAATGTTAACGGAAGAGACAGCATTAACTTTTTCGGTGACATCATCCCATAGCTCATTTTTCCGATTGTTGGTCAAGGTTGAACTAAATCTTCCAAAGAGTGCATCGTAGTGAAGTCCAACGGTGTCGACCAAAGCCTCACATTCCTTAGTGGAAAAGTTTGGGCGTCCTACAAAGTATTTATTAATTGACCTATTTTTATTAGAGGGAAAGCTCATAAAATACGTAACGCAAAGCAGGGGAGGGGTTAGGCTGTTGTGTTACTGGTCCCCTTGATCAGTTAAAAAAATGGGGTGTAAAAATGGACTATATCCCTCTACGAGGGATGTGTAAAAAAATGACTAATTTTGCGTTTCGTGTTTTCTGAACATTCCCAAAATAAATATTTATAATTATAATTTCTTACTCTTTCCATTTGTGTCAACTAATTCCATCTTAACTGAACTTTTCGAATCCATACCACATAAATATTATTTTGTTGTGACAATTAGCTACATAATCAAACTCCGACCTAGATAACTGTTCTGATAAGTTTTGCCAGCTGACACTGTTTTGTGGTGGAAAAACTTGCGCAGTGCTAAGCAAAAGACAAGAGATACGCAAATTTTGAACTTCCGCATGCTTATCTATTGAATCGCGTTTTTTGCTGAGCAAAATCTATGCTCAGCAATGCGTAAGCAAAATCTATGCTTACGCATGTCACAATTGAATTCCCCCCCGGGTAACAATGACGAAATGAATTGTAGTCAATTCGACGTCATAAGTGATTAACTTTTCCGATGCTATGTGCGAGATAAATTCTTCCGTTAAAGCGTTGTCGAAATCCATATGTCCGATAACGATTTTCTGACTATCCTGGTTAATACCGCCTAAGGAGACTCCTATGTTCGTGTCATATGTGAAATTATAGCGCTGATTTAAAAGGTGTAAAGTACAGTCGACGGAAGTTTCGTTTACGTCAAAGCCGCTGAGACTAAAGCCGCAAATTCTGTCGGGCTTTTTGAATCTGATCAACGTTAGCATAACACTACGGTGGAGATTTTGAGTGTTTGTCGCGTCCCACAGAGCGGCGAGATCATATAGAGATGAGATACGGTTGACTAGAATCGGAGTAGGCGAAGTAATGCATACAATACATGGCATACTCATTACTTTAGGATTATAGAGGTCAAAAAATAACAGGATTGCTTTTGACGTCGATTCGGCTGCATAATTTAAGTAATACTCTCTAATAGCAGGAAACTTAACCGAGATGAAGAGAAAGTTCGGATTAGTTTGTTTTGCTGCGGCCAATAGTTGGTGGTGTGGGGGAGTTTCGACGTGTTTAAGATTATTTAACGTTACCGCCAAATTCAAGAATGTTACCTTAACCCGATGAAATTTTACTCGCCAACTGTAACGTTCGAGGTCACTATTGGTAAAAATATATCTTCCGTTTTTATAATGTCTCATTTGAATAGTTTGAGGTGAATAAAGGTTTTTCTGTCATATGGTATCAAAATATTTAACACCTGAGGAAGTTTGGTGATCGCCAAGAAATTGTTGGTGAATAAAGTAAATTTCAGAGTTTTCAAAAAAGTTGGAGATGTAGGTAATTATCGTGTCGTGTGGGGAACTAAAGGCGAATATGAGAGGGGTAAAGTCGAAAAAATAAAACGATGCAAGAATATGGAAAACTGGAATCATATTTTTTCTAGATGTTTTAAAAATCTTGCAGTTTATACATATGTAAAGTATTCTCGGAACTAAAAACTAAATCGATTTCAGCATCGCGTATTCGTACGTCCGTTCGACAGTTCGTTTAATTTCGTTCATAAATATGCTACACCATTAAAAATAATATAACTTTGTTGAATATGTAGTAAATGCACTATTAAATATAAAGCGTACTGACCCAAGAAAAAATTTACTTACTATTTATCTAGTTTACTATGAATTTAGTATATGTATCAAATTGAGGGTACGTTGACTGCTGAAAACCGTAACATGGTTTTTAAGAGTGTTTATATTAACATAGCTACACTCTTAGCAAAACGGTATTGAATCATCACCAAACGGGAAGCCCACATGACTTAACCAAATTGTGATAATATTTACCCCACAATGTGTTAAATCCTCACTATTCAGTGTTACGTTTACACATTTTGGGGAAGATTTATCACAATGTGAATCAATACCGTTTTGCTAAGAGTGTACTTACGGTTCAAATTGTATTCACAAAAACATTGTCCTGCCATGAGTAATTTATTATGAGTAAATTATTAATCGCAACACGTTGCGTGTAAATAGCATGCAGAAACTTCATTAATCATGACAATACATATGTATGTACATACCTATTCGAAACGAATACTAAGAATTGTAGTTTAGGGCGTTTTGGTAGAGTTTCAAAGATCTAAGTACACAAGAAACTAATTACAATGTCCTAATTACAAATATGTATGCATATAACGGATACTTTTGAGGACGGCCGTATGTAATGTACATATATGTATGTATACATACAGTCAATGGAAAAAGTATTGGCAACCCCCAGGCCAGCTAAATAAAATTGGCTGTAACCTTGGAATGCATTATACAATTTGCATGAAAATGTGTTTGCATTTAGTAAATATGATGTGTTTTTCAATTATAGTCATGTTTTATTGATTAAAATTAGATAAACACAGTTTTTTAATAATTGGTTGGAAAATTTGCAAAATTAACCTGCAAAAAGTATTGGCAACATGTGGCCAAATTAATTACGCGAAACAATTTCCTTAATCACCTACCACATTTCATTACGGTAAGTTAATTAGGTGACAAAATATGACCATAGCTACATTTTAAGTCAGCAGTTGTGTTGTCTGGAACCAAAATGGCGACACCAAACGAGCTATATTTAATTAGAAATATTAATTTATTTTTCGCAAAAAAAACTTGGATATCTAAAAATCAATAAAAAACATACTTTTTCATATTTACTATTGGAAATGTAGCCAACAAATATAAAATGACAATTTTAGTTTCTGCTTTTCCATAATGCAGAAGAAAAAAAGTCACCTAGGCTCAAACGCAGATGATGAATCAAGCAACAAATTACTTGAAATCGGAAGATTTCAATACCCAAAACGAATTAGAATTTGAGAACCAACTGTGGAGTCAATATTTCATACAATTTGGTGATCAATAAAAAATCATGCCATGGGGTTTCAGGGTCCAGTAGCCCCATAGAAGAGAAGGCCCCCGAAACGAACCAACTCAAGGTATTTAAATCAGCTAAATACCACCCTAAATAGACTTCCAATTGATGAAGAAGGGTCTAGTGGTCTCACCTAGGTAAATTTGACTTATTCGGTGCGGGTGGGATGGTTTGAGTTTGGAGGATGTAAAATGAGGCTCTCAAAAATGATTGCTGCCGTCTGGGAGTCAAGCTCGGAGGAGGATCGACTATGGTTTGGGGTTGAATGACTAGGTCGTTGCGCAGTTAGCTGGTCACTATCGATGTAGTAATGACCAATGAGGTCTAATTAATCATTCGAAACGATAATTTGAAAACATTTGACAAAAACCTGACCAAGGGAGGAATTTCATAATCCAAAAATGCAGTGGCCCCAAAACATGCATCCACATTAACGATGCACATTTCTGGAGACCGAAAAGGTTAAGCTTCTATTGTTAGCTGCACAGACTCCCGATGTGATTCTGATTGTCCGGGATGAGAAAAGAGGGACTGGTGGGAAATCACTCTACAAAAAACGAGCTTGTCAAAAGTTCGAAAGAAGATTGGGAAGCCATATCCAAAATCGTTATAAAGAAATTTTCCCAGTCAATTCCAAGGCGTATTTCTGCTCTTATTGCATCGAGGCGAAGTGCCACGCAGTACTGGAAGCAGTTTATCGAAATAAAATTGTCGTATCTTTGATAAGGGTTGCCAATACTTTTTGCGGGTTAATTTTGCAAATTTTCCAACAAATTATTAAAAAACTGTGTTTATCTAATTTTAATCAATAAAGCATGATTATAATCGAAAACTACATTATATTTTCTAAATGCGTACAAATTTTCATGCCAATTGTATAATGCATTCCAAGGTTATAGCCAATTTTATCTAGCTAGCGTTGGGGTTGCCAATACTTTTTCGATTGACTGTATGTGCAAATAAAAATAATAACAAAGAATTCTAGTGTTAATAACTTAGTTAAACCTAAAATTTCAGAAACCACAACTTGCTAATTTCCTAAATATTTTTCACATTGAAATTATGGAGGATTTTGTGTAATATGTAATCAGGTCAAGTAATCTAATGGCAGTACCATTGTGAATATAAACGTATGAATACATTCAATAGATTGCCTTAACCCATGCTTAGTTTTATTACCTGTCGAAAAATCTTTTTCAGAAATTGCCGTTTTCACCAATCATTCCAAAAGGGGAATATTTTGTTTAAGAGCTTAATGGTGTAATAATAATAATAAAAATGTTATTATGACATATGCAAATTTCGGCTTTTTATATCCAATAAAAGTACCTGAACCTGACCAAGACAATAATAGACAAGCTTATGTGAACTTGGGCCGGTTTATGACACATTTTATAAAAAAAGTCCGGCTAAGAAGACGCTGTGAATACGTAAGTGCATTCGTTTGCGGTGTGGATACACTTTTTCACCTGGCAACATGCTTACAAGGCGTGCAAATTAAGATTTTATTTGTTTCTTAAAAGGGTGGAAAAACCAGATATTCTGATATGATATGTATCTGTGTCTATATAATGCAGACCAACTATTCGATAAAATAAATGTCTGATACATATCATTAAAAAAAATATTTCTCGTTTAAATACAGCTTAAAACGCGATCGTGTGAAGTGTAACCCACGGATTTGGTTGAAATTTTGAAATTGTGGTCCAAATACAACCAACGTTTCATGAGGCAGTTTGTGCGATTGTTACAATTTGCCAAAATATTTTAGGCCATAAGATTATTCATTCATTGTTCATTTATTCGAAATTTTATAATAATGATTTAGTTGGTATTCATTTTAGCCCAAATTCCCCTCATTTCTCAGTTTACGCCATGTATTAAGCACAGCAAAATCGACAAAATTATTCATTTATTCTTTACGAATATGAAATGAATAAATACTTAATAAATATGCATTCATTAAAAAATTTTCAGAAAAACATTCACTCATTATTCACGACTTGATTTTACAATAAATGCATATGTATTTCATTCATTCTGTATTAAACAAATGAAAGTGAACACTTATAATTAATGCAATTTGGAAACCCTGTCGAATGGATAAAAAATTGGGTGTGTTTCGCTCCGAGACATTAAATCTTTTTCACTTAAAGATCTGCATCAAAAGTAATAAAAGTATGTACCTAAACCTGACCAACGCAACGTATTGCATGTTAAACAAAAGTTGATCCAGTTTATGTCATTTTTCATAAAAATGCAAGTCCATATAAAAAGAAAGGATTTTCACCTTTTGTCGGATTACGTCCTTCCAGCCCACACTCCCGACCAAGGGTCACAATAAAAGTGTTGAAATTTCTCAATCAGGCCACTGTTTTTTTTTAAATTTCCCATCAGCGACAAATAAATAATTTCTTAGATTTCAAATATTCCGTCGTTTTAACAAAATGTGTGACTCGAAATTGTTTTATACCGTCATTATAATTGTTTCACTGGTTGGAATAACTTTATCCCGTGAAAATTTGAGTCTGACTAAAGCAGAGAAACAAAAATTGGACCAGGTAATACATAATATTTCATTCCAGAATTTTGCAAAGCATTTTTGAAAAACTTGTGTTAATTCGATATGAATTTCAGTTTAAAGACGCCGTTTCCAAAATTTCCTTCCCGGCTGAGTGGATGCAACAGGAATTGAATCTGGTTCGGTATCTAAGAGGTTAAGCCAATTTTAAATATGTAAATAGGACAGGCTGAGCCCGACCCAAGCTTTACAAAAAACTATTTTGCAACCTCAAATCATTTACATAGGTCAGTTTGTACAAATCCTGACAAAAAGCTTTTCTTTTTTAGCCCCTTCTTTCCCAAGCAAATTTTTTGTTCGAGTCCTTTTCATACTAAACCCTTAATTTGTCATGTTTTTAGTGGGTGCATAATTTCAAGCTGGCAGGGTAAATTTTACAAGAGTTATCGATAACAGAAAGACAACACAGGTACATAAGCTCAGGGTCGGGCGAAAAACATCGATTCTGTTGTTCAAAGATTGGTTAAGTTATCTTTATGTTTTAGCTCGACAATGGGACGTTCAACGAGCTAAGAGTATGCTGCAAGAGGTATGCACTTAATTAAACGTGTCACGAATAACAATTTGGACACAAAGTTGAATACGTTTTCTGGAAGAAAACTTTGCAAGGAATGATTTGTGTAGGATCCTACAAACATGATTATGCAGAATATTTGCGAAAGTTCCCAGAATTCTGCACGGGGTTTTCATATTGGGGACTACATAATTAAATAGTCAGGAATGATAGCAAACAAATTTTTAAACTTTAAATGAGTTTTCTTCGGAAACTTAATACCTGCCACCAAATATTTTCCAATCATAAATTAAATTCGTTTCCCTACAGACGGTCGCCTGGTGGGAGGAGAACAACATGAAAGACATTCATAACGAGGACTGGACAAGTATTGAGAAAGATTATCCCCTCCACACGGACGGAGTCGATAAGTTTGGACAACCAGGTAAGCAGGGTTTTTAACTTTTTCAAAATAAAAGGGCGGTCCATGAAGCAATTTCTTGGGACAAATTCTCAATAAATAAAAAAAACTCTTGCACCACAATCCCTTTAAAGAACTAAACACATTGTTCATTCATTATTCAGTAAATTCATGAATAATTGGTGAGAATTTTTATATAAAAAAATAAAAAAAATTAGTACCGCGTAAATTCATAGATATGCATATGTCTTCATTTCACAGTCATTCATTAACAAAGAATGAAAAATTGTATGCAATATTAATTTTTCACACTAAAGCTAACATCTTTATGTGGTATCTTGAGAAATTGACCTAATAGGGGAAAGTTGAGATACAATTCATAAAAAATTAATAATGGATAAATATCTATTAATTTCCAAATTTTGAATAAACGAGTAATGAATGAATACTTGTTTCTTGAGCTTGTAATCAATTGGGTTTTAATCAAGGTAATATTTATGAACAGAAGTATATTTTTGTAACGTTATGTTCCCCCAAATCCCATCTTTAGCATTTGTCTTTGCCTTTGCGGAGTGGGACCTTCGCGGGGCCGCAGTCCAGGGCCGGCTGAACCGCGTGATCCGCTGGTTCTTTAAAGCATTTGATGACGTTCACCAGAAATCCATCGAATATCACAAACTCGGCAAGACGAACGGAACCCAGTGGAACGTTATCGCGGACATGGATAAGCTCTCTCGTCAGCAGCACCTCTGTATCCAATGCCTCCGATTTTACACTGAGCTCGCCCTCATTCTCGAGTCCCGCTATCCGGGAGGAAGTGACAAACTATTCGTTGTGAATTGTAAGTCAAAGCAATCTCTAGAATTCTATTTTTACCGATGGTAACAATGGTCTGAGCATTAAACTCTGAATTAGGAAAAAATGTTTCTAATATCAAAAAAACGTCTAATTATAAAATGCCAACCATAAGTACAAGTAGCCCCACCCCCATAGTAAAAGTACATAACTCTTTGATTACAAATTTACTACAGACTGTTAGAAATTTTGAATAGTCAGGCAGCTGGAGGCCGTACATAAAGCTTGTGATCGATTTTCGGGGAATTTTTACCCCTACCCCCGTGCGTAACCTACATATATTCCCCATGTTATAATTAATATGGGAAGGATACCACCCCTCTTCACACCGATCAAGTGCTTTCTGCACAGTCTTTATTTCGATATTATTTAAATTTGATGCGAACAAGTATTAAATTTATTTGGGCCCGTAAACATTTTAGGTCTCGCTTACTGTGCAATAAATGGCCGAAATAAATAAATTACTTATTTCTAGTTAGATTGTGCACTCTTAAAAATATTGTTACCTTTTTGAAGGTAAATACACACTTAATTCTATATTAACGAAACCTCCGTAAATCCAGAGTAAACTTTACTCTTTATTAAGTCAACCTTACTCTGGAACTAGAATAGATTGTGTAAATTAGAATTCAGACTGCATTTATCCGTAATTTACAAAAGGGTAACATTATTTTTAAGAGTGTGTGATGTAAACTTTTTTTACATTTTTTTCAGCCCCTTCAATTTTCCAAATTGTTCTTTCCCTGATCAATCCCATCCTGTCAAAAAGTACTCTGAATTCATTGAAGGTAATTGGCGCGAACAAGGAGGAATGGGGCAAAGCGGTCTACTCTCACTTTGCAAAAGATCAACTTCCAGAAAACTTGGGCGGCACGAGAAAATATTCGACAGTGTGGAACGAGATATAGAAAATCATTGTGCACTAATTATGAATATTGGAATTCATATCAAAACATTGTCAATATTTCATCGTATGCAAATTGGACAAACTAATTTTAAATTAAATTCGATGCAAATAAAGAATCAATGAAATTAAGTAAATGATGTGTTTCAGCATATACTTGAATGTATTTATGATAATATTTATTCTCTTTAATCATTAGAAAGACAGGGAATTATCTTGTTAAACGTGATTAAGCCTAGTACTCAGGACGAATTTTTCATGTGAAACGACACGTTCCTCGCTCTGAATTAAATTATTTCTTCATTGAAATTACTTAATTTCACTTCCAGTATACCAATGGAAGTTTTTTTAAAATTAAAGGCTCAAGATGTTACTTACATTTCTTGTTTTTTCTAAACTTTTCCACGTGAAAAAATCCCTCTTAGCAATTGAGAGGTGTAAGGTGGATAATAGCAATGTGGGCCCCGGGGTTTTTCAATTGAAATCCCATTCCCCGGGGGTTTACCTCTGTTTTGTGGGTAGTCGGGGTTTTGGGGGTAAACTGAGTCCGTGTCTCAAGTATTAACTTGTGAAAAAAATTGTTTTCCTGTTTCTTGTTTTTTGCCTAATAACGCTGCTTATATATTAATTCAATTATATTCTCTAATTAATTTGTTGAATTGTTAGAAATGTCCTGTTATTAAATTTTCTTATATTTGAAAACCCCCCTACCCGTGGATATTGCTCAAATTTTCTGCCCCAACACCCAACAAATCCCGCAAAACCCCAATACCCTCAAACCCGGGGTAGCATACCCTGAACAAAACCAAATGCATATTAATTTAATTTTCCCTCCATGTCAAATAAATTATTTTTATACCCAAAGGAATCACAATTCGGAACTGCATTTTTTAGATGAAAGAACTAAAGAGTTATACACCTTTCAAACATCCGGAATTCTTCCAAGATCTTCGAAAAGATATTGATGAAGCTTTGTTAAGACACGTCGGTCAAGAACGAAGACTTGTTGGAGAGCACGCACCACAGGCCATGATTCTCGTCACGACCAAAAGGGAAGCCGAAGACACTGCTGAAGCTCTGGGAGAAGACGCAACATTCATAGTTTCAACCAAGGAAGGAGATGCAAATTTAAAATTGTTTCACAGCAACCAGAAGAAAATTGCTGTGGTTTTTGGAATGCTTCGTGAAGGGTATGACAATGCATGTGTCACGCTAGTCGTTTTTCTCCGCAATGTTAAATCGCGTGTGCTGTTTGAACAATTTTGTGGACGTTGTATTAGAATGAATCGAAAATTGCAAATTAGTCTCAGGTCGGTAATAGGTGCTGATCAGGCGACTGGTACTGTACTAACGTATAATTGTTACCCTCACCTAAAAGAATTGTGGAACGAGAGAGAGAAACCCGTGGCAGATGATGATCCGATTGATGAGGTTGAAAATAACCATGACAAATAATTACTACTCGGCAAAACTACTTGTATTTTCTCACAAACAATGCCGTGTTTTCAAAATTGGCTATATAAATATGTGTCCACATTAATATTTAGTTGCCTTTTTGTAACTGTAGCCTCTAACTGACCTAGCGCGACCATTTTAATGATTCAATAATTTGTAATTTTTATAATAAATCTTGATTATTATCTTGATTAGTGTGATTATTTTAGTAACATAACATAGATTACATAAATTACTGTCTATTACGCATTACGTAGGTCCATATCAAGCATCTTTACTTCAATTGTTCTTCTATTACCTGATCTACTACAAATTACAATCCAATGCTATTTCCTGCAATCAGCAAAATTAATTCTACTCATGTAGTTTGCCCTAAATTAGAATTTTGTACTGTATTAGGCGATTTAACCTTTTGTAACTACAGGTATAGCAAAGGTTATACTTATTTAGTCCTTAATATTATTAGCGCCCCTTCGCTGACCCACCGATCAGGATAAGAGTCATTGTTTGAGTTTGACAAAAATTTTGAATCACCAGTGGTGTCGCGCTGTCGATGAAATTGGCCCCAAATTTGATTTTCAGTACGGTGCAAGCTTTGGCTCCTTTAGTCAGGGCAGATCTTCTCTTTCCCTCACCGCATTGCACAATAGCTCTGACCTGCTCCTACACCGTCTTTGTCGATATATTATTTACCCAGGAGTCCAAGGTAATGACGAAGATATTGTTTACGAACATGTTCACCCAGGCAAGAGGGAAAATAAGGAAGGCCGGCATCGGGATTTCGTTATGCATCATGAGGGACACGTACTGCGTAAGTATCTGTAATGTCGGCAACAACAACATGTAGACGGGAATGAGGCGTACCATCAGAAATTCGTTGAAAATTTTTTCCAGAATTTGAATATTTCGATACGCTTCGGTACATCTTTGGAGCTCGGTAGATTTCCTAGCTACACGAATTTCTCTGTAAAAACAAATTTCTATTGTTTAATTGTTTGCGAATTTTTCAAAACAGTATTTTGAGTTACCCCCTCAGCACAGCAAAGTAGTTAAGCATGCTCACAATTCCGACGAAAAGGATATAGATGATTTCCAAGGTACCGGGTAAGACATGGAAAGCCATCCATGTATCAAAGAGGAAAGTAAGATGTTGAGCACCAATGCATTTGTCCAGGTTATCGACGCACAATCGTCCCGCATTGAGAGCAGAAATGGGGGTGAGCAAGGATCCAAAAGGATTAGTCCAGTAATTGCGGATGCTATTGCAATGAGGCTGAAGAAGGTGACTTGAAGAAATAATTTCATCAGTTTTGTCTCCCTAAGTTTTCTAAGTCTAAGTTTTCTTTCAAGGAACGTTTTCCTATTCCAAACAGATTGTAGATTGCACGATTAAAATTTATCGTAATGTGTGTAGTGTCATAATTAATTTTATTTATTCGTAGTCTCATTAATCTTATTACGGAGAAATATATAAAAACATAAGTAATTTTTAAAGACAATATTGTGTAAATTATTGGTCACCCGTAGATACTCACCTGCTAGCAAATTTTTTTCAAAATCCATACTCGAATTGATTATCTGTGCAGCGGCAACATCCTTGTTATAATTCCATCGTCCACATAGAATTACAAAGTAGATGCAAAATATAGCGAAACCCTGAAATGTTTTGGCCCTTGGTAAATCCTGCAAGATAAGATGAGCCAGCATAGCAATGCAATACGCCAGGTGGGAAACAATTTGCAGACGAAATATCCGTATCTTAGCGGAATAAGGTTTTTAGATTTGTGATCAAACTCCAACAGACCTGAGTACAGACTTCGGCCTATTTTTAAATGGCGCAGTAGAAAAGGAAGAAAGTGAGTTGTGTACATTTTTGAAGAATCAGATTTTGCACTAATAGAAAAATTATAGACAAGAGAATATTTCAAAACTAGAACAGGACGTTATGCCAAAAATTATGGTAGTTCTATCTGTTCATTTCATCAGTACACATGGTCACAAAACAACGGTTCAGCGAATGGAGCGTCTTCGGTTATAATTCTACGTGAGTATTTTACTGATGTTAAACAATATAACTTTGAGTGTTCGCATTAACGCGTATTTATTATAGCTAAATAATACACTTCAAATGTCAAGAGAAACTACTCATAATTATGCATACTTTAATTATCTGGAATTTTCTTTTTTGCACATGACGGACTCTTACAATGGAGACCCCGCAGCCTCGACTATCACATTTTGACCAAATGGGTGCCATTCGATCACAAATTTAATTGATAAAAACTTTTCATAAGGCCTTAGCAGCTAATTGTCAAGTTTGGCAGAAATACTTGAAGATGAGAAAACATGGATGTGATAAAAAAGTAGATATGAGTATAAACCTGAATTTAGATTGCATAGTACATATTCACTAAGGTTTACTGAAAATCGGATAAAATTGCTGTTGTTATTTCAGAATGGTTGTAAAATCTAAAATATCTTTAGTCATAATATTTAAATATGTACATATGTATGTATCTTCAGAGCGATCAGTATTTTCAAAACATTTTTCTATATTATGTCTCAACCACAGATTTGCTATTTCCACTCAAATCATAAAAATTCAAAATTTCGGTTCCTTTTATCTTTCTCCAACATTCGAGGTTGGTCTATAAAGCGTCAAATCCAAGTTAGTGTTCCACTTTTCGTTCCTAAATTATGCATAATCGCTTCTCGTAATCGCTTATTAAGGGTAGAATGTGCAAAACCAAAACTAATTACCAAATCTGGGGAAATCCTAATCAGTAAAATATTAAAATCTTTGCTCTTATAGTTTCATCTCTTTCGTGATGACTTCCTCCCAACGACTTGTAGCCTTTCATCTGACCGAAAACATTGTTCAACTCGCAATAAATTTAAAAACTGAAAAATTGGATATTTTATCCTCTTTGGATGTAAACATTTACACATATTGGCATCGGCAAGTGACATCTTAATCAAGTTTGGGATAGGGTGAGACGAATTTCGTCAAAATCGGAGAGCATATACTGAAATACCTACATTGTCAGTCCTCACATATAGTATGTGTTTTCTACACATATTTATCTATTATGACAATAGTGTTCCTAGAGTTAATTAATTTTGGATACATGTTTAATTATGATTAATAGACATTTACGGTGGATAATAAATTCATCCTTTATCCAACACAGTCGCGATTGTACATAAATCCTATAGCGTAAATTAAATTCCATGTGTCGTGAAGCTAAAGTAGAAGAAAGAGTATGAGTTGATGCTACACTCGTAAAAATAATTTTACCCTTGGGAAAACCAGATACACTCTTAATTCAACATCAAGAGAATAAACTGAATCCAGAGTTATGTATGTATGTATGGAATTCTACCGCTTCGGTAATAATTTATTACCTAAAGGTGACATGATCAGAGACGCTAAATCCTGAAAAGCCCAAATGTCATCATTCTAGCAATAAAAATATTACGGACCCCTAAGCCAATTTCTTACCCTCAGAAGACAACTTGAAACTATAGTGTTACCACTCGGTACAATTGCATAGTACCACCCCAAGCGTAACACAAAATTATTGCGAGTGAAAAGGTAGCATTATTTTCAAGGGTGTAAATATGAGTTCAGGAATTAATTAAATTCTATCGCGGTCTGTTGTTGTAGTTAATTTATGCTGTACTGAATATTCTCCAATTTCGGGTAATGTACCTGCGATGCATTGAACAATTTTGGAATTAATATCACCAATTTCCTTAGCACAAAGCTGGGTCGAATTGAATAACGGTTTTAATTTTCGCATTGCATTGTGTTTAAAACATTTCATGATTTATGCAGCATTGTTTCTCGCAAAATTTTAGTGTATTTGTACATGTGTGGATAAACCCCGTAAAAAGCATATTGCTCGATAAGTTTATTGTGACGAATGGGGGTGTTTATTACACAAACACAATGATAAGTTTTATGTAAGTGCACTGCAATAATAATCGTTTGGTTTGGTATGTCATATGTTGAAAGCATGCATGTATATGTACATATGTAGCTCATCCTGTCATATATCTTAATTCATGGGAATTTAACTGTTTAGATTTGATTTTTCTAATGACGTTGAGGATCTAGATATTTACATACGGGTAACTAAACCGGGCACAATAAAATATGCATGTGAAATGATAATTGCCTTCTGCTTTAACAAATAAATCAACTTCAAGATAATTTGTATTATTACTCACTTATGCATTAAGTCTAAATTATTTATTTCGCAATGACACTACAAATATTTTTAGTAAAATTTTTAAAAGAGGATATTACTCCTGTCAAACAGTATGTACTGTTATCATTGATAAGTGTGTAGTTTATCTGACGTAAATAAAAATAGTTGCCTTCAATTATGTTTGCCTCGAATTAGACAAAATCCAATCGACAAAATATGCTACTTCCGTATTAACTCCCGGCCTACCCGGTAGTGCACAGCCATACCCCCAACTCACCAACCCGGCTAAATATCCACCCTGCAAATAAACTAGGGGTCCACCCGAATCGCCCAGACACGCATCTCGTCCCCCCTCCGGAAATCCGGCACAGAGCATGGATTCTTCCAGGATTTCTTCAGGATACATGGCCTGACACGTGGTATCATTGATAACAGGAAGTTGGACGAATTGCAAAATATTGGCGAACTGCGAACCTCCTTGAACGGTGACGCCCCATCCGGAAGCTGTGATGGGGCCGGTGGTCTCTTGGCCCTGGATCGGGAGAGGGATTGGGGAAACGAAATCGTCAAAAATGAAGGGACGGGCGACTTCGAGATGAAGGAGGGCGATGCCGTTGGCGAAAGTGTAGTCATCGAAGGATTCATGGATCGTGATTCGCTCAATGTTTCGGGTCTGCTCGTGGCTTCCGGTTGTGAGACGGTGGAGCTTTCCAGCGATGACGCTTAAATTCGAGGGGGATTCGCCGTACACGCAGTGGGCTGAAGAGGAAAATGTATGAAATTTCATAGTTTTTTTTAAGAAATGCAAATAAAAATGGGGATGAGGTTCATTTTTTTTAAATTATTTAAAACTCTTAAATTTGATCGTTTGCCTCCCAGCTTAACATTAGCATAGTTCATATGTATGTATGACCGCACCCCAAATTAGATTAATTTAAAGTAGTCTGAAGACTCTACAATTCTGTATACAGTCAATGGAACAAGTATAGGCAACACCCATACAAGCTAAATAAAATTGGCTATAACATTAGCATGCATTGTCAAATTACCATGAAAATTTGTACGCATTTAGCAAATCTAATGTAGTTTTCGATTATAATCATGTTTTATTGATTAAAATTAGATAAACGCAGTTTTTAAATAATTTGTTGGAAAATTTGCAAAATTAACGCGCAAAAAGTATTGGCAACCCTTAACTTAAAAAATCATAGAGCAAAGAAACGCCTACTTTATTGCGATAAACAGCTTCTAGTATTAGGTGGCACCTCCTCTCGACGCAATAAGAGCAGAAATTGGCCATGGAATTGATTCGACAAGTTTCTTTATAACGTTTTTTATATGGCTGCCCACACAGCTTTCGAACTTTCGACAAGCTCGTTTTTCGACGAGTGGTTTCCCAACAGTCTCTCTTTTCTCGGCCCGGACAATCAGAATGACATCGGGAGACTGTGCAGCCAACGAACGAACCTCAACCTTTTCGGTCTCCAAAACCTTGCATCGTTAATTTAGCTGCATGTTTGGGATCACTGCATTTTTGGTATATGAAATTTCTTCCTATGTCAGGTTTTTGTTAAATGATTTCAAATTATCGTTTGGAATGATTAATTACACCTCCCTGCTCATGATTTTATCGATTATGACCAGGTAAACACGCCGCCATCTAGTCATTTAACCCCAAATCATAATCGGTCCTCCGATGTGTAAAACTGCCATAAGAATGAATTCGTATTTCTCAGCCTTTTATGCCATCCGCCAGACTTGAACCAATTAATTAGCTCCGAATAAGTAAAATATGCTTGTGTGAGACCAGCAGACCCTTTTTCGTTCATTGGAAGTCTATTTAGGCTTATATTTAGCCCATTCCGATTTATTGAGTTCTTTCGTTTTGGAGACTCTCGCGTCTGTCGGGCTACTGGACCCTGAAACCCCACGGCATGATTTTTGATTGATCAGCAAATTGTATGATATGTTGACGCCACAGTTGGTTCTCAAATTCAACATGGATTTGGAGGCTGAAATCTTCCGATTTCGAGTGATTTGTTGCTTGATTCATCAGTAGCTTTTGGGTTTAGGTGACCTTTTTCTTCCTCATTGTCGAAAAGTAGAACCTGAGATCGCCATTTTATATTTCTTTGCTACGTTTTCAATCGTAAATATGGAAAAGTATGTTTGCTCCTTGATTTTTCGATTGCATAGCATTTTTATGCAAGGGACATAATTATTTCTCAACGCGCCAAATACAGCTCTATTGGTGTCGCCATTTAGGGTCCAGACAACGCAACTGTAGACTTAAAATGTCGCTAACGTCATATTTTGTCACCTAATTAACTTACCATAACGAAATGTGGAAGATGGTTAAGAAAATTGTTTTGAGTAATTTATTTAGCCACACGTTGCCAATACTTTTTGCAGGTTCGTACCTCACTAGTTTAGGTCAGAATTTGGATTGCGTTATGTTTATTAGATTTAAATCAGAAACACGATTATAATCGAACACTACATTAGATTTATCAAATGCGTTCAAAGTTTCGCGCTTATTTGATAATGCATGCCGAGATTATAGCCAATTTTATTTAGCTTGAGTGGGGGTTGCCTATACTTTTTCCATTGACTGTATGTAAGTAATTCTGAACCGATACCAAATTTTCTCAGGAGTTAAAGCTCAAAAGAATTTGTTTTTTGTTATGGTGAACTTCATGGTAAAAAGTTCATTTTTATTAGTATTTTTCTTTTAAAATTTGGAAATTTTAGCTAGAATAAATTTTGTGTGTTTGTCTGAAAAAAAACTCGGAAATGTGTCGGAAATGTTAAAATGGCTGTTCCACGTATTCCGTATTTAAGAAATCATGGGACTTTAATTGATTGCAATTATCTATGATAACATCATAGTAATCATGAGCAATTTTATTGAAACACAATTGGGAGGTAGATGGATAAGTACATATATTTTAGAACTTTGGAAAAATTTCTTGCGGAAATAAAAAATAAATTAGTGACGTGAAAAAATTTATGAATTTTTGTTACCTGCAGTAACTGCGATACTCTGGTCAATGATGGATGCCCCACAGACATGTGACCCATACCGCATTAGGGTCAGTTGATAAGGAAATTGACCCTCGACCGCGTCCTCACCACCGATTATTCTCCCACCGCCAGGAACTCGGCGAGAAGTTCGAGGCAAGCCTGAAATTATAACTTTTTTAAGATCCTTAATTTTCTTTATTTTATGTATGGATTCAAAACTAAATTATTGCATGTAAATAATGAGCAGAGGGCGGATATGTATGTATTTCTAACTTTTTCATATCAAATCAGATCGTACTCAAACTTCGTATACTGACATCCCATCGAAGTATGATTTCAAAAATTCAAACATAGTTTTCCATATTTTACATATTTTAGGGTTTTCGTACATATACATATTTTCACACATATTTTGAGTTTTTTTCAGAAATACACATATTTCCTGACATATTTCGAGCCCTTTTCTAAATATAAATATTTTAATACATATTTCGAGGCTTTTATCGTACAAATATTTTTCTTTTTTCAGAAGTTAAAGTTTTGTCAAAATTATATTTTCATAATAATGGTGTTCAATTCATGTGAACGACTAGCAAATCGAGTTTGTCCCATTTTTCAAGCCAAAAAATACCCCTGAAAATCTATAATTATAATTAATGTCGCATTAGGGGTCGTTAGATGAATAATAACAAGAAATATTTAATAATTCGTTGATAAGAGTGCTAAAAATGTGAAAGGTCTGGAAAATTATTTACATATAAACACCGCGGAAAATTGCGGTGAAAAATATTTTTTATGTACATATTCTCGAGTTTTTTAAGCACATATTACATACATATTTTGCGGAATTTAAGTACATACATATCCGCCCTATGATAATGAGCGTACGCACATCAACCTTCGCATATTTCGCATATCTCGCAAATTTAGCATAGCAACATAACTTGCGAAGTTTTGCGAGATATGCGAGATTTCGCAAAAATTTTGCTGGAAAACCATGGGATTTTTTTCTCAAATTTACACAGCAATTGGCAGAGGTGGGCAAGATCAAAGTTTTCGGAGATCAAGATAAAAGATCAAGATCAATTTTTGCGCCGCACAAGATAAAGATCAATATCAAGATAAATCTGTCGAATACTAAAGATAAAAGATCAAGATCAAGATCAAATTCCAGATCAAGATTAAGATCATAAGATCAAATATGTAAATTCCAACTATGTTGCAGATATTATATATATAAACCGATAAATACATACATACAACTACGTTTAACGTACATACATTGTACATGCGTGTAGTGTGCACGCTACAAATACTAGATAGCCAAAATTGGTTTTCTAACTAATTTCAGTTATTCAAAGTTGACAGCATCGACGCTGTTAAAATTTCGTATAGTTATATAATGCTTAACAAAACGTTTGCCGGGATTTTCTAAGTTGCCTTTATACTTCATGTCTTGAAAAATTAAGCAATAGTTGAAGTATCAAATTGTCGCAAATTGTTGACGAGCTAGTAATACTCGCATTTAGGCAATAGATCGTCGTTCTAACTGGTTCCACTAATCAGTAAAAAAAACTAAATTTTTCGTCTCTTTGAATGCACTTTAAGTAATGGATAAAGAAAATATGAAATTTTACCAAAATTATGTTTTAAAATACTACTTTCCATATTTGTAATTTTGATCTTGAACTTACAGATCAAGATCAAGATCGAAGATCTTACAGAGCAAGATCAAGATCAAGATCAAGATCAAAAGCTAGATCCGAAGATCAAAGATCAAGATATTATCTTGATCTTTGATCTTGATCTGCTATCTGAGATAATGATCTTGCCCACCTCTGGCAATTGGGCATGTTCTTATTTCGCAAAATTATTTTGCCAACTCATACTCACTATAGCCACCAAGAGAAATTAAAGAAATCCATGGATACAGTACCAAAATACGTTTTTTCAGTAGAGTTGCGAGATTGGCGGGATTTGCGAAGTCATATGTATTTTGCGAATCCCTTCACGACAGAAATATTTTGATCTTCGCAAGTTTTCTAAATGAGTTGCGATGAGAAATAGGACGTTGTCGTGAGTACGCCCAATATTCAGTAAGATTATGTAACATTTTAAACAACTTGCTGTCTACATATAATATATTTGTCAGCACAATAGGGATATTCATTACATGTTCGCATCGGAACATAATTTTGATCGTAAATTTTCGAACCTATTTATGTAGTACTAGGCTAGGAAATGCGCAACGTCGTAAAAAAAATTCCAAGCCTAAATTTTGTTGCCACCTTGTAAATTGTTTTCTATCGATCCGAACTCAAAATGAATACACCCAATATTTTTATAAACTTACAAGTCACCCAGGTAATAAGGAGGAGGACAAAAACAAATATACTTTTGGTCATTATGCTTGATTTTCATTAAATTAAAGAGTAAACTGGTAAATTATGAAGTGTTTAATTTAAATGAGTTATCTTTATTGAAGTGTAAATTATTTATGGCCAAATTGGCGAATGAGAGTATGAACGTTATATCCATTATATCTTATCGTTCCTGTGACGCTCTTGATATACTGATAAGATTTTATCCTGATTGATTAACTACATATATACATACTTAAGTATTGTGCAAAGAGGTCATATCTGTATTTAGTGAGTGAGTTCGGAAATTTTATTCTATTTTATTCGGAAATTAACGTTTTGACCAAAAGTCATCCAAATTTGACATATTTATTTCACTGGAAATCATTCCCAAAATTTCACGGCTGTTCAAAATTTAATAGCCAGTTTTGCAAATTGTTCAATTTTGCAACATTTCTTATCGCGTTTATGAAATCGTGTTTTAGCATGACGATGACAGGCATTTGTACGTACATACATTCTGTGTAGCAAATTTGCTTAGGAAATTTTCAAACTTTTTAATAAATATTCCAAACGCTTACGCAAGTAAAGGTTTTGAATAATTTATAAATTAAAAAATACTGGTACGAAAAACTGACAGATTAAGACATTTGGAATCTATAGGAAATATTGTGTGATTTTTTGAGCTGGGTACAAAATATAATTTAGTTAGCTTCAAGCTAATTTCGGCATTATATTCATCGTAATCTTGTAACAAAGATGTGAAGGACTTCAGTGGTTTACACGTTTTACATACATCATGATCGTCATTTGTTACGCAATCTTTTCTAGTCTTGTAGACGTCTGCGTACCGTTTGAGATTTTTACTTCATGGATTTTATTGAGTGAAGATTTATTACTTTTACGAGAAAGTGTTGGTTTAGGTGCAATTTTAGTATCAACTTTTTCAACTATTTATTTATTGTTAACGTTTTGAAAGGAAATTATATTTATCACACGTTTTAAAATTTGCTGCAAAAATAAAATTAATTAATTCCGTGCCGTGCGTGTAATCAATGCAAATCAACCATCAACATTTTCTAGTACTTATTAATTACACATTGTTAAGACTTATTTCGAAACGTCAAAAATTACATTCACCCTTGTACTTGTACACTCTTAAAAACAACGTTGATCCTTTGAAGAGTAGAAACATAAAAGTTGAAATGAATGTTAGTTATACTTATTCTACGAATGTGGAAGGGATAAACAGAAATCCAATGCCGATGAGTATCTAATTAAAGATGTTGAAAATGGCCAAGATGAATATGTAATAACGGATTTTTCAGAGCGATTTTTGCAGATCTGTATTATTTACTTATCTGCTCGAAATTATTTGCTTACCATAACTAATTAATCGTGAGATGAACACTGATTTATGTATTTATGATATTATTGTCGTGCTACGATGACAACGTCTTGTTCTATTTTTTTATCTTCACCGAAGTTTTTTTGTAAAGAATTCTTTCATAACACGTCATTTTGGGGGGAATAAATTTCTCTGTGCAACATATATAAATATATATGTCCAAAAGGTTTGAAATCGTGCTTATTGAGTTGAAATTGGTGGATCACAATTGGTAAAGAGTGGCAATTGTCGAGTGGAAATTGGTGGGTGGCAATTGTTGGATGTAAATTTACACCGATTCCTTGCATTCGTCATCATGAAACATATATTTGTAGAAAATTAGTTATCGCCTTCTTAAAAATTTACCACTTTTCCCACCCATGTGGCATGATACGTACTTTAGATATTGAAATATACCAAATTGTGACTCCATTTACATACATACATATGTACTCTAAAGGATTAAAATAGGCTTTAAGGGCGTATTCTGCACGGGGAAACTGTCATAAATATTTAATTAATCGCATTGGACTAAAGGCTTGATGTACAGATGTATGTACACGGCAAAATATTTCGAAATCGTGTTTAGCAGTTGTCACGATACGAATCCTATGGTCTTAAAATGCCAACCTTTGAGTTCACCATTTCTTAGGCCGATATGCACATGAAAAATTAATCGGCTTTTATTTAATATCTGAGAGTGCCTGTGCAGTGCACAATCCCACTGGATGGGCACAATCTAAGAAATCTGGTAATAGAATGGCACCACGTGTAAACAATGCCCCAGCGCGAAATATAAATATACGTCTTTTTATTATTAAGGTAAGGGAATTGAATGTTCGACTCCTTTATAGTCGGATTTTCTGATGCATATGTGTGATATAATAATTTTCGTAAAATAAATAAAACATGCTTATAAAAGACTGTAAAAATATACATTCTTTTAATTTTGGGAACAATTTGACTGACATGACCCTATCTACAAATTCTAAAAGCATTCATGCAGTCAACGAACCCTGCTTTTTACTCGATATATTTATTTATTAATCTCCCTTACTACCTTTGCTCGATACTTATACTTTGTTTGGGTAGTCTACACACACCAAACTGACGCGAATATTTATTTTGGACACATTATTCGACTTGAAATATAACGACATCCAAGAAAAAAATGCATCCCATCGCAATATCACTTATTATATGCACCTTAGGATTTAGAAACAGTGTAGGGCTGGGTAATTTTGACCTGAATATCATCCTGAAAAACGGAGATGATCGTTACCTCCAAACCTTCTCACCCCTTTTGAATCATCACAGTGTAAGCACGATACGAAATTATAAGAATCATTTCATAAATAAGACTGCTTTCATGCGAATCGCAAACCAGCTTAAAACCAGATCCACTCGTTCAGAAATATTAATCATTTCAACCCTCTCACTATTAAATTTTATCAATTCAAATTCAAATTCATTCAATTCAATCCTCTTTCTCTTTACACCGTTCCATTCATCCCGGTATATGAACACAGTTTCCAGGGATATCGGAATTCCGAAGGTTATATTTGTCTGGGAAGATACAATTTTCATACCGTGCTTTCCCTGCCGCACTTTTCCACGTGGAACTTTGCTCAGCAAGCAGAGAATTATTTCGTTCCATAAGATCAACTCAATTTGGCACCGACAAAAACGAGATAGACATGCAGGGAAGTATATTACTTGTCATCAACCTGAACAGGGGTGTTGTAAAATTTGACAAAACGACTTCTTGTGGCCCGAGCCTAAGCAAATTCCACTCCCCAGAATCTTATCAAGCCTGTGTCATTTATATGATTGGAAAACACCTAAATTTCACCACCGTGGACAAAAGACTTTTAGAGACTTTTAGAACGAAAATGATAATCTCGTATATAAGTTTCAATATTCTTTAGATGGCGATTTCGTTCAGGGCTTCACACGCATAAGCAGAGATAAAATGGTGTTCACCCTGACTTTCAAAAAGTTTAGATTTTCCGTAATAACCCAATTTCCCAGAGCGGAAAGTAGTTTTGGAAACGTTTTTACCCCATTCGACGTTTCCACGTGGACCTTAATTTTAGCTGCTTGCATTTTAATAACTCTTGTGGTTCAGTTTAATCGGGACATGCGCAATCTCCCTAAAAGCAGGGCAGAATATGGCGTCATATTCCTCAGTGATTTAATAACATTCACGTCAATTTTGCTCAGTCAGTATAGCAGTGATATTGTGAACTCGTTACAAAAACGGAGAAAAGCTGTTCCCATATTGACCGTGTGGTTTTTGGGATGCTACATTCTCATGCAAAATTTGTACCAAGGATCAATCACGTCAGATTTGACGGTTACGCCTTTTCCCTTGGTTCCTAGAAGTTTGGAAGATTTAGCGAAATCTAAGCTAACAGTGGTTACGACCGCGCCAATTTTGGGGTTCCAGAAACTTGAACCCCTCATCAGGTTTGTACTACCACAATGCGCACATATCTGATCACTTTCAATCACCTGATTGATTATGCGTGATGAAAATGAATTTCTTGTCATTGGAATAAAAATGGGTGAAAGATTCCGTAATTTCAAATGAATGATTGAATGAAGGAATTTTACACTCCTTTCATTTTCCACCCTGTGTTAAGCATATGCTTGATAGATGTCCTTGGCTGCTTGGGTTGGGGGTTGGAACCGGTGGCTTTATGTAGCGTTTGGAGATCTAACAATGGAGGACTCCCAACGTATTCTCACAGATTTGGACCCAACTAGCGTCAATCGATCGCAAATATAATTAGTATGAAATTTGCAAATTGAACTATCTGCCAATGCGCAGGTTTGGCGGAGATATTTGCATAAAAAGAGGAGAAAACGCACAAAAGGCTGGCATATTTTTCATTTTCCAAATTTCCTGCGGATTTTTTCTGCTTTGAATGCAAATATCTCCGCCAAACCTGCGTATTGGCAGATAGTTCCATTTGCAAATTTCATACTGATTACATTTTTGATCGATTGACACTAATTTCGTCCAAATCTGTGAGCATACGTTGGGAGACCTCCATTGTAAGTTTCAATCCCTCACTGCAGCTCGGTAACTCGGGCGCCTCGCTTCGTGTCTGTTGAGGTCATTGCAGCTGTCCACCCGGTAGAGTGGACTTAGCGTACTATCCTTTTATGCTATTATTCGCGTCCAAATGGACACACAATAATATAGCTAGGCAGTGATGGGTTGGGGTTTAGCAATGTGGTATGTACTTCCCAACCAGGGCTTGCATCTACCCACAGAGTTGGCCCATTGCTTACCTCAGTTCCCTTAATTGGTTTCTTGGTCCTCCTATCTCATCAATAGATTTGGGGGCTAAACCTGAGAGGTAAGGCCGCTGTCATACGGTGTAAAAGTAAGAGGCATATGAAATAGATCCAATTGAGTGATCTCTGCAGATGGGCTATTTCAGTGAAATGGTCATCCTGCCAAACATGTACATATCTATGCTAACTACAAGGAACAAGTGAGGTAAAATGAAATGAGTATGAAAGAAAATGACTGAATGTGTATGAAAATCTTCACTCAGAAACCGGGATGACTGAGCTTTGTATGTATTATGTGAGGAGGATTCCTACCCATAGGGGTAGACATCCAGCTGCGCAGGTCACCAGTTGGACCTATTGCAGACACCTCAATGCACTCGCATGCGATTATTGTGACTGAGCTTTGAATGAAAAAGGTTCTTT